TGGTGGATTCCAAACACCAATACAGTGTTCCTCTCCCATCTTCGCATTAGTCATCTCCCAATGGCGTTCATCAGCTCAGGACAGAACATTTGCAAACGAGTGCCTTACAGCCTGACCTTTCACCACCAGAGACCAGGACAGCAGCAGAGATGAACAGCATGCCAACATTCCAGAACAACGGGTCACCAGGAGCCCACAGGGCGTCACAGGACGCTGCTTCTGTTTCAGAGGTGCTACAGACATGTCCTCATATTTCTATTTCTTCTGTTCATAGTTGGCTCATATGGTTTACTCTAGAGCTCCTAACTATAGTGCTTCACATAGGCCTCCCAGGATCCAGGCCTGGGGAAGCCTTGATTGAAGAGGCTGTGACCTGGTGAAAGCTATGCAACGGCCATCCATTTCTATGAAGTATAAATGGACCTTTTTGGAAATCTAATGAAAGCCAGTCTCGTGATTCTAAACAGAAGCCGTTCGCAAAATTTCTGCACGGAAGTCTTGCTGTCGGCAAACCCATCAGTACCATCCACGCTTCTTTATGTCTTCTCCTGGGTCAAAGTTTTTATTTCACAAGTCTTATTTAATTGAATATGTTTTATGTAAGTTTTACATGTCTTCCATTTGCTGCCCACCATCAGAGACACCTTAGTTTCTCCAGAGCTTGTAAAGAGTCATCTTCAACAGAGGCCTTTGTAACCCCCTGCGGAGGTCAGTATCGATTCCCAGAGAGCATCGGGGAATTACTTCCATGGACTGTACCGTCCAATAGTCATTCATCTCAGGCCTTGAAGAATCAGCACAAAAGCAAATGCATTTTCCTGACCATAATGATAAAGCTTAGAGAATATGTAGAGCTTTCATATTCTTCTTAGTGCTGATGGCGGCAACTGAGGTCCCCAATCAGTTGAATGCTAGCCAGGTGGCAAAAACACTTAGTGGGTCATTTTTATTTTTATAGTCATGCCAACAGCAAATCGGTATTGCATTCTGGAAGCCTGAGGACTGGCAACTACAAGCCACTCTTTGCTAAAAATTTTTTTAACTTGTTGTCATTCCAATCTACGCTTGAATGAAATTCCACACAATTCTTAACTTGTTTCCGAATTCCATGTAGTTTTCCTTCTACTTAAATTGTCATCTACGTCCTATAGAAAATGTTTGCAGGTAAATAAACAAGTATTGTTACTCCAGCTCCAGTTGATACAGACCCAGGTCTACGCCAAACAAAAACACGTTTCTGCGATAGGCAAGTGGCTACAGATAAGTTCTTCCAGTAATGCACCTGTCTTGGGAGAGGGGCGCATCTGATCAGAGCACGCAGGAGCAAACAAACAGGGAAGGAGAGTGGAACACATCCTAGTCCACCCAGCCCCAAGCACTATATTCCTGCTCAGAGCAGCCAATGCACAGAGAGGACCATAGGGCTGGCCACACTACTAGACACAACATCCCTCCCTGACCCATAGCGCTACAGTGGACAACACTGGAGACAGTGTGGGAGTTGTGCACGATCTGACCACACCACACCGAGGCAAAACACTAAGGGCATGCAAGAGAGCAGCAAGGGGAGCAAAGCAATGAAGTCCCTAAGGAATACCAAAAATAGACTTTGGGGCCAGGGCGTGACACCCCATCAGACTCCACCGGAAAACACTCCTAAAGGTCAACAAACAGACCTGGAACTATTTATAGACCTTTTTTTATTGTTGTTTGGGTTTTTTTTATTTGTTTTTGTGATTATTATTGTTTTTGCATATCTATCTAGATAAGATAGGCGCGATAAACAATCTGGAGAAGAAAACAATGGGTCCAACAGTTCCAGGGTGACAGGGGGGAGGGGGGGGTGAGGAAAGGAAGAGGGGTGCCAACAAACCCATGGACAAGGGTACAATAAGTGATCTAAAATTGATGGCCATGAGGGCATAGGATGCTGGTGGGGCTTGATTAAGTGCAATGTAGCCAAGAGGAATTGCTGAATGAGGGTTGAACATGATAGTGGGACAAGAACATGATAGTGGGACAACCTGAATGAGGGTTGAACATGATAGTGGGACAAGAGAAAAGTAAAAGGAAATAGAGGAACAAACTAGGAGGCAAAGGCCATTTACAGAGATTTAAATATAGGCATGTACATATATAAATACATTTATATATAATGATAGGGGAATAGATCTATGCACTTACATTTATGTTAAGCATTAAGGTATCATGAGGTGTCATCAAAGACCCAGAACAAAAAATTATATTGATTTGAATGAGGGGAAGGATGGAGTGGAAACCCAAAGCTCATCTGTATAAAATTGGACATCCCCTCACAGAAGTGTCACAAGGAAGAGACGAGCCAGTCAGGGTATAGTATAGCACTGATGAAACATACAACTTTCCACTAGTTCCTAAATGCTTCCTGCCCTCACCCCCACTATCATGATCCCAATTCTACCTTACAAATCAAGCTAGACCAGAGCATTTACACAGGTACAGATATGAGTTGGAAACACAGGGAATCCAGGATAGATAAACCCCTCAGGACCAATAATGAGAGTATCGATACCAGGAAGGTAAGGGGAAGGTGGGGGGAGAAAGGGGGAACCGATTACAATGATCGACATATAACCCCCTCCCAGAGGGGTGAACTACAGAAAAGTGCGTGAAGGGAAACAGTGGTCGGTGTAGAACATGAAAAAAAACAATAATTTATAAATAATCAAGGGTTCATGAGGGAGGGAGGGGTGAGATGGGGTGGGAAATGAGCTGATACCAAGGGATTAAGTGGAGAGCAAATGTTTAGAGAACAATGAGGGCAAGGAATATACAAATGTGCTTGACACAATGGATGTATGGATGGATTGTGATAAGAGCTGTAAGAACCCCAAATAAAATGATTTTTAAAATAATAAAAAAATAAATACACCTGTCTTAGTCTTAGTAAGCTACTTCCAAAAGACCAAACAAAAAAAAAAAGCATCCAGCCAGTGGCTTCTTAGGGGACTTGCTGGGTCAGTTAAATTCAAGGAAGAGAGACCAGCTCAGACGGTGATGGAAACCATTCCTGGGGGCTCCAGAGAGGTGGTCTTGATAGGTTTTCTCAATCAAGGGTGATCACACAGGGGTTCCTCAGGGAGTTTTACAAAGCCTGGAAATTGCATCGGTGAGAAAAAGGCCATGACAGTTGCAATGAAGAATTCTCCATCACAACAATATGCTCGTTCTTCAAGGGTAGCAAGGGCTGTCCTATGAGAATTTTGTTGGGAAATCTTACCCCACTGCCCCACAGCCCTGGTTTTGCTCCTTCGGACTTCTTTTGGTTCCCAAAACACAAAGAACATTTAACGGAACATGGACAACTCCTGGAGGATGTCAAAACTGCCGTTTGGATGTGGCATAAGAGGAAGAGGGCAACATTCTCTGGGGAAGGGCTAGGGAGATGGAAATGCCACTTTCAGAAGCGCACAGACCCCGGTGCCGGAAACGTCGATAAGCAATAGTTTTATATTTCGCTACTTTGGTTTTATAAAAGTTTCAATGGTGACAATGTCAGGAGCTGGTGGCACAGCAGGCTACATGTTGAACTGCTAAACCACTCGGTCACTGCTTGGAAGAAAGATGAGGCCGTCTGCTCCTGTCAAGATTTAAAGTCTCGAGGAGCCCTGGTGGCTTAGTGGTTACATGCCAGGCTGCTATTGCAAAGATGTAAAGTCTCGGAAACTCAAGGGGTAGTTCTTTCCTGTCTTTTTAAGGTCACTATGAGTCAACATTGGCTTGATGCTGGTAAGCTTTCTTAAAGATGATTATGTGGCAATCCTTTTTGACTTTCTCTCACGTGAGTACAGCACTTTATAAGAAATTTGTTAAATAGGGCACAATTGCAAATTAAAACTTTATGCTCTTCAAAAGGCATCGTTTGGTGCAGAATGTGATGGAGGACCAGCATACAAGTAGATTGGGAAAAAATATTTAGCACACACACATTTGACAAAAGATTTACATACAGAATACAGAAGAAGAAGATAAGCAACCTAAAGAAAACTGAGAAGAAATGTATGTCAGAATTAACTTTAATCTACCCCCGCTCCCACCCATGCCTAATTCACAAATTCACCAAAAATTTCATTAAAAAATAAAATGAAAATAATGTAACTTGAAGAGGAAAAAGAACAGAATACGTGTAGGGTTACTCTGAATCTGAAAAACCTCTAAAAAGTGGACTACAATGAGAAGAGGGCCTCCCTGACACGAGCAGAAAAAGGGAAAACATAAGGCTATCACTAGTTGTTCAAATGACCGATTTCCCTACCAATAGATAAGGTACAACACATTTTGCAATGATGGGTGAGGAAGCAATCGTTCAAACCAAAGGGCTGTTGAAAAGATGGAGTTAAGCGAGAGACTAAGAAGGCAATGGAGAAGCCTGGAGGGCCGGAGCTTACTACCAATGACTTCTATTCCATTTTGACTAGAACAAAAGGTTCTGAAGGGGGGGAGGGGGTGTCCAAAGAGCAAGGTCAGAACACTGAAGCCTTGCTCCCCCACCAAAGGGTTCCAGGAAAGGTTGCTCACGTCTTCAGATACTGATGGGCAGTGAGGCCAATGCACAACTAGACACCAGGCTCCACAAACACACGATACAACCCCACGGACACACAAACCAGAGTAACTGTCCCATTCTCTCCCACACTAACCCATGCTCCTCTACGTACCCAGAGCGCAGTCACAACCATCACCCCCACACGACTATGCACACAGGCCACCGTACCAGGCTGGCTGCTGCTCCACTCTTCGCTCTCTGGGGTGCTAGTGGGGGGCTGTCCCTCTGGATCCTTTTCTTCTTCTTGCTTCTCCTGTGGAAGGCAAGCCTGAGCCCAGTGTCCTGCCCTCGGAGGTGGAAGCGAGCCTGCCTGGCTCTCTGGCTACAGAGCATTCTGCCCGAATGACTGGCAATGTCTTCTAGGTCATTGAAAGCCAACAACCCCCTCCCACCTGGGCCCAGACTAACAAGCACACACAACCGAGTTACACAGTCTGTCTACAACTCCCCTCACTCCCAGGTGGGGAAACTGAGGACACACAGGCCTGTCCTGGGTGGACTTCGCCTGCCCCCTAGAACTGCCAGGCACAGTGTCCGCCAGCCTTTCTGCAGCTAGAGCCCCGTGGACCCAGCCTGCAGTGCTGGCGGCTGGGCCCCAGGGACAGCGATCACCCCCAGCACCCACGTCTACCTGTGGTGCCAGCTCCTGTGACTGCACCTTAGCTCTGGCAAGCCTCCAAAGAGCAAGGGAGTGATTTATTCCTTTCCCTCCGAGCAGAATCAGGACCAGATTCAGGATGTCCACCCCACCCCCAGCCCCAGGATGAAATCTCTGCGGGCCCTGTCCTCAGAAGACCCGGATTGAGCTGGGGCTGGGGGAAACTGAGGCATGTCCTCTGCCCACTTCCCACCGGGACCTCTGGCTCCGACTCGTCCTCGGATGGGTTCTGGTATTCCCGGCACTTCCGCTTCTTCATAGGTTTGAGCAGCTCCGAAGCGCTGGCACGCCCGGAGGAGGAGTTCTCCACTATGACAGACCTGGGGGAGAGAAACACCTGCCCTGGGCCCCTCGCCTACACCGCGGCCAGGAAGGGACTCCGCGAACCTACGGGCAGGGCAGCTGAGTTGCAGCCCGCTCCTCCTTACCGCTCCTGGAACAGCGGCGTGCAGCCCGCATTGCTGGAACCAAGATCCGGGCCGGCGCCTGGCTGAGGCCCGCACGCCTGGCACTGACAGGTGGGGTCCTCTTTTGGGGGGTCCTGGGAGCCAACTTCAAGGGGGTCCAGGGGGAGGTCAGCTGTAGAGGCCACCAGGTCCCCAAGGACACGCCCCCGCCCAGGGCCCGCCCACCTCAGAGCCACGCCCCTCGAGTTTGGCTTCCACCTTGGCCCCACCCCCAGGACACACCTGCAGGAGCACCTCTTGGCCCTGCCCCTGCCCGAGGCTCCTCCGGGTGCTCAGAGAGCTACTAGGCCCTGGGGCCAGGGGCTCCTACCCGACCGCTGGGTGCCTGCCTCGCCCCCTCCCGCCGAGGGCCCGCCGTCTGCGTATGTGGCCACGCCTTCGCGCTGCAGCTCGGGGCTCGGGGGCTGCTCCGCTCCCACCGTGGCTAGTGGCGTGTACTCGCTGATCCGGAACTGGAGAGGGGAGAGTCAGAGGACCAGACTCCTGGGCCCGCCCTGGACACCGCCCCCCCCACGCCCTAGACCCCCCTCGGGACCTCCCCCAGGCCACGCCCCCAGAGCCCATCCCTCTTTCTGTCCCCGCCCCCAAGCTATGCCTTCAGGTCCTAAAGTTTAGGGCCTCAAGTGCCTGGTCCCCACCGCACCCGACTCGGAGCAACATCCTTAGAGCCCTGCAAATGCCATCCCCAAACTACCTCACTCCAAGCCACGCCCTCAGAGCCCCTCCCTCAAAGACCCACTCCCAGGATCTCAGTCGCCGCCAGAGTGCACACTCGGCTTCAGGCCCCGCCCCATGGATGCAGCTCCCGGGGGCTAGCCAATCCCCGCAGACACTGACCCGCAGGCCACTCCCAGGAGGAGGGGCCGCAGCCTCGGCCCACTCCAGGAGCCGCAAGGTGCTGGCGCTGGAGCTGGTTGCTGGCCCCGCACTTAGCTGAGGCAGCACGGCAGCCGTGACGGGTTCACTGCCCGCCGTCCGCTCCGGGGCGCCCACAAGGATAGGCTCTCGAGGGAAGCAGGAGACATCCAGGGCACTGCTGGGCAGGCCGATAGTGGCCGAACTGGCTGCAGACGGACACATGGACAGACATCACATAGATGAGCCTAGTGGCCTTGCCTCCATCATACCACGCATGTCTGGGCAGGTGAAAGAGTCATCCCCTCCCCAGGATCAACTGCTGAAGCAGGTAAGGGGTGCTCCTCCCTGGTACCCTTGGCCCACCTGGGATGATGAAGGCAGTAGTGGGCAGGTGGGGGCTAGAAGCGGGGCTGTCTCTGGCCACCAGGTGGACGCTGACCTCGCCTGTGGCAGGCCCCGTCAGTGTCCTCAGCGTCTCCATTTCGGCATGCCCTTCCATCCTGGAAAGCCTACAGGCTGAACACAAGCCCCACCCCAGATCAGAAGAGCAGAGGGGTTTCTTTGAGGGGGGGCTGGCCACCCCAAGACCAGCAACCTATGGAGACAGGCCCCAGGTGCAATGAGATAGGGTGTCTCAGGAGACCAGATTCAGATCTGGCTTCTGCCTCCATCTCCACTCGGAAGTCTCCAGCCAGGACCTGCACTCCTCCTCTACCCTCCTCTATAAGGTGCTTTGAAAACTGGGGCATGCAGAACTCACTCTAGGGAGCATGGCTCAGGACAAGGTGCTGTGTGCTATCCTTAAGACACAACCCAGGCCAAGTTCAAACTTACCTCCTTCTAGATAGCCCACCTCACACAGGACTAGAGTCGCTTCGGTCACCCTCTGGGGATTCGGAGCCGCCTTTCAGGTGCGGATTTCATCGCCCAAGAAGGTGGAACCTGATCTTTTCTGATCAGGTTCTTTTACGCCCTTAGCCCATCACACTCACACAACACCAAACTTCTGTTCAATGAACACATGCATTTGAAGGACCAAGAAGTACTCTACAAGAACCCAGGCAGTTCTTGATTTTGATGTGAAGCAGGGACAGTAGCAGCACTGAATAAAGAGTGGGTTGAGCAGGTGAACCAGCATATGTTGGGGGACGGGGGGGGGGGGGGCGCACGGCTTAATGATGTATCAAATATACTCAACATCTACCATTTACTCAACTCCTAAGATGTGGCAGCCACCTCACTCACTAGGCACTCTCCAATAGAATGTTCTGTGATAAAGGGGATGCCCCGTGCCTGTGCTGTCCAATGAAGTAGCCACGTGCCACCTGTGGCTAGTCTGCCTGAGGAACTGAATTTTAAATTTTATTTCATTTTAATTATGTTGAAAGAGCCACCATGGCCAGTGGCTACCATCTGGACAACACAGCTTTACATCATTCATTATCCTTAGTCTATTGTCTCCATCTCCCAGACACATCTTGATAGCCTCTTCTCTCCGTCTGCAGTGCCACCATGCTTGTCCCAAGCACGATCAGAATTCTTAGACTTCTGACAGTACCTCCTAATCCAGCTCCCTCTTCTGCCCTTCTAGAGGCTGTTCTCTCGCCACAGAGAGCTTCGAAAACACACCACATCACATCGCTCCCCAGTTTCATCCTGGATTAAAATGCTCCAGTGGCTGGGCATTGTCATTACAATGACGTCAAAATGCTTTACCTTCCACAGTCTGAGCTGTCTTCCCCTCTGACCTCAGCCTCCACGAGTCTCCATTCCTTCTATTGCTTGACCTGCCATCCTGTCTCAGTGCCTTTGCTGTTCCCTCTGCCTGAGAGGCTGGTCCCACACCCTCTGTTTGGCTGGCCCACTTCCACCCCCTGGGGCCTCAGCGCACACAAGCCTTTCTTGACCATCGATTTAAAGCCACACCCCCACTCTCTCTCACTCCTGTGTTTATTTCCTTCTCAGCTTGTACCATGTAACAATGTGCATTTCTCTGTTTGCATGTGTGTCTGTCATTGCCGCATGAATGTAATTTCCTAGAGAGTTAAAAAAATAAAGGTATACTGTTCACTGCTATATCGCAGCACCTAGAGGAGTGGCAAGCACACAGGGTAGGTGTTCAGTACGTTGGATTTCTGTAATTCAAACTTTTAAAAGTTTGCTAAGTGACCCATTTCCGAAGAGAATGAAAATCCCCTCCATGAAGAAGCAGGACTATAGGAAAGACATATCAGTTGAAGAAGCACTATAGGAAAGACTGATATCAGTTGAAGAAGCACTATAGGCATGATTGACGTCAGTTGCTTGAAAGTGCTAGCAGTCCTTGACCATGACTTCTGGCCGCTGGGTTAAAACAAAAACAAAAAATCCCAGACAGACCCTGGGCTGAGGCTTACAGAAGAAATGGCTTAGAATCTCAGCTCGCCCACTTGAACACCTATGTGAGTCAGGATTTACCCTCTCTGAACCTCAGCTTCTTCGCGTGTAACACAGAGGTGGCGACAAGGTCTATCTCAGAGGAGGACAGGGTGACAAGTAGATGGAAGATACTTGCAAATCCACATACCAAGAGGCCCTCATCAAACACCACTCCACTCCCGAGAACAGAGAGCTCAGTAAATTCGGGAAAAACAAACACACATGTAAGCTGATTGCTGGAAAAACTGGCTTGCCATGCTTGCTGTTCCCCTCCTTCTCTCCTTCCCCGTGAGTGCTTGTGGTATTCAGCCCACCACGATCTAATCATGAAGATACTTGAAGCTGCAAGTATCTTGCAGGCCTGTGGCAATAACGCCTGGTGTGGAGATGGCCCTCAATCGCCGCTGAATGACTGAGTGAGACAGCTGAGAGCAAAGAGCAGTCAATAAATAAGAGGGGGAAACAGTATTGAGAACTGGAAGTGGCTTAGCCTTGGTTTGACTCCAGACAAGAAGATGATTCTGTTTGGACGTGGGCCAGGCGGGTACAAGACATCAAGTAGTCTGGTAGTGGTAGCCCCCCCACTGGGTTCCTTGCTGTCCCAGAATGGTGCTCAGACAATAGAGTGCCGCCCCTCCCCCCAGTGCTGTCCTTTGGGGGCAACCATCCAATGACTAGTTGGCATGAAGTACAAGGGCCCCCATTCCTTGCTTTGATTTAGGACATCTGAAGGGTCATCGTGGACCCCTGGTGGTACAATGGTTGAGGGCTTGTTGCTAACTGAAAGGTCAGGGTTGGAATCCACCAGTCACTTCTCAGAGGAAAATGTGACAGCCTGTTTCCTTCAAGTTGAGCATATTTGGAATCCCCATGGGGTAGTTCCACTGTCCTACAGGATCACCAGGAGTTGAAACTGACCCAGAGCAATGGGTTTGGTTTTTGGTATGGGCACAAGCAGCCATCCCTGTTCCAGAAGTGTCTTGGGACAAGCTGAGGCCTCTTGTTGAGGTTACACTGGCCGTTCAACTTCTCCATCTGCCCAGCCCTGTTGTCTGTACTACCGCCCAGGGCCAGTCCTACAAACCTCCTACTAACACGTACTCTCCCTTGGAGGCTTTCCAAGAAAGCGCTGTGTCCACAGCAGCGTCTGGCGCGTAGTGGGTGCTCAGTAAATATTTCTCGAATGACTACACCATGTTTATTTTTATCGTGGTCTGCCAAGGGCCAGCCGGCCCCAACCCTGTAGTCTTCAAAGCCTTGTAAACAATTGATGCCTCATAAATGCCCTCCCCCAAACAGGGATTTCTACTCCCACAAACAGTGACGTCTCAGAAACCCACAGGGGATCGCTATGAGTCAGCGTTGACTTGAAGCGGTGAGTTTGGAGTTGGGTGATGGGTGGGGCGGGGTGGCACCACAGACAGACACCTTGGGGACCACAACACATGGGGCACCGTTGGGAGACTGAGCACCACAAACTTGGGGCGTCGGGCCTGCCCAGCCACAGCGATGAGGCGGTAGGTACTGCGGCCTTGAGCGCGGGGCAGGATCCGCTTCCAGCACCCCTCCCACCCCGTCCTCCCAGGGCGGGGGGCCACTGATCCGCCAGCTCCAAAAAGCGGTTACTTTTTTTAAATGCCAAAATGGCGGATTTTAAAAAAATTCTCTTTATGGAAAAAATTTTCCTTTACGTTATAAAAATCAAAAAATAATAATAAAATAGAAAAAGTTTGCTAAATGGCTAACTTCCTTAGAACACCAAAATCCCGCCCTCGACACCTTCCCCTCCATGAATGAAAAACTCCTGATTGCATTTCTCTACAAATAAACGAAGCCCCCTCCTTCCCCTGCCCCCTCTGCTCGCGTCCGGATCCGCTCCCCCCACCCCGAGCTCGGCAACCGCCCGGTACCCTATGCGCTCCGCCCAGACCCTCTCCACTCCCGTTTTCTCGAACATCCTACCTGCGCGCGGTGCTTGGAAGGAGGGCGGCACCGAGACTTGATACCCGAGCACGCGTCGCGCTGGGCAGGCGGTGGAGTCGGGGGCGGGCGGCGGCCCAGGCCGGGGTCCAAGCCCACTTGCCCGCGGGCTCCCTACCTGCAAGGCCAGCCCGTGGCCGCCCCGCGCCACCCAGTCGTGGTCCGAGCCCTGCGCGGCGCGCGCCTGCGCGCACAGGGGGGCGGGGCCGCCCCCCTGCAGGACGCACCGGCGCGGAGCTGAAGCGCAGAGCAGATTTGGGGGTCGCAGGCCCGGGCGCCTTAGCGCTTGCGTCCTCTCGCCCCTCCGCCCGACGGAGGTCTCGTGAGCCTAACGCCCCACCTCCCCCTGGGCTGGTTCGCTCCGCGGGCGTGGCGAGTCCAAAAGCTTCCCACCCTCCAGCGCGCGGTGGGGCGCGGGAACCAGGGCTGGACCGAGTCGCCTGGGGACCCGAGCTGAGTGGTAGGTGACCAAAGACCGGGCTAGCACCTGAGCCAGGTGGATGCGCTGCGCTGCGCGTTTGGCCCCGCCTGGGGAAGGGGAGCCCCGCAGGGTTAGAAACCAGACTGGGAACAGGAGAGGCACGTGCGGATCAGAGGACCAGACGCGGGGCGCAGCGTAGGTTCGGGTGGAGGCCCTTCCTAGCAAGAAGGATGGCATTCGTCGCGCCTGGGTTCCAGTTGTCACTGGTGCGACGAGGACTCCCCGTTATTTTTTCCTGCTTCTCCTACTGGTAAACCAGGAGAGACTAGCACTGACTTCGCGGCAGCGGGCGTGCTTTTAGGAATGGCTTTTGTTCGATTGCCTGGAGCCAGCCCCTGGTCCTCTGTGTTAACTGTCTCCGCAGACTGACTACCCAATTCTTGGAACTGGTTCTCCTACACAAAAGACTCTTCATTACACAGGTCATGGCTCTATTTTCTCAGGGAGGTATGTCATTGGAGAGGTTAGGAGACAGCCAGCCCCAGAAGGGAGGTGAATGCATTGCTTTTGTGAGTGCTTAGTATCTTAAGGAAGCCACTCTCCACTGGCCAGGCAGAAAGGTTTGCACCCTGATGCCTTGGGCACTCTGTGGATCGGTTCACCCCATCCTATGGGTAGACTTGCTGTTAAATCGAGGACAGCCCACCCTGGGATTCTGGTTTGGTGGTTCAGTCTACAGGCATGGTCACAGGAGAGACCTCCCAGTCACACGAGGAGTGGGGCAAACCCTTCACATGGTTGTGATCATTGGGTTTCAGTTTATGCGGAATTTAACGATTCTGGTTGCCACGCCAACGCATTCCATGTGTTCTCCCCTTACTGCAGTGTCAATTTTTAATCACAACTCATATTATTGAGAACAGGATTGCATCAGGGGAGGATGCTGGTTGCCGTAACAAGGAGGCCTCTTTCTACACACCATACACACACAGCCCTCTGCTCATTTGCTCCCGGCCCTTCCCAAGCTTGGTTCTGGGTTCCAGGAGGTTTAATTTCGGAATTTGGAAGATTCAAAGAAAATGGTGAACCTACCCAAGCGCTTGGCTCCTGGACAACAAATGTATCCTGTAGTGTTGATTACAACAGACAAGTGGAAGCTGAGCTTGGGGGTGGAGGGGGTGACCCAGGAAGAAACCACAGACACTATCTTAGGTTGCCAAGGCATTATTCGCTGCCCTCTGGAAACAGTATTTCAGTGGGCTTCATATCCGGCTGGCTGGCTCCTTCAAGGAAGGAGAGCCCTTTCTAAACTGATTTCGAGAACGTTCTGCCTCTTAAATAGGCCGGGTTTTTCTTGCAAGTCGCGGTGTCCCCTTAAGGAGCAAGCAAACAAGTCCAATCCTTCCCTTAAGCAATAGTGTCTTTTTCTTTACTTCAGTGTCTTTTTCAAGTAACTGATCCAAGAATAGACCGCCAACATTACGAAGTATTGAGTAGAATCAGACAACGGTGCGCAGTGCACATCTTTCTGCCCCTACAGAAACTTCAGCTCACCGTTGGGGCTGCCCATGGCTTTTAGGAAATTCATCAGAATGCTCTCTTGATTAACTTGTACAAATCTGACTCCAGCAACATGGTGGGCTGTGCTAACACTCACTGCCACCGAGTCAATTCTGACTCTGTGACCTTATCAGAAAGGGCCGAACTGCCCCTGTGGGTTCCCAAGACTAACTACTGCAGCGAAAAGCCTCATTTTCCTTCTGGACTGTGCTAAAGGGAATGCCTAAAAATCCTGGACTAGACTGTAAGGAAGGAAGAAGGAGAATTCAGGGCAGAACTTGCAAGAAGAAGGAGTCCTTTGGAACCCAAAACAATGAGGAAAGTAAAAACAGAGCAACCCTCGGGGTGGGGGTGGGGGCCTGATAACCCTCTTGACTTGAAGACAGACGGGCCTTGGCTGCTAGGCACTTGGAATTTACTACGTACACCGCAGGAGGTGGGGGCTTAGGTCAATGCCATGCTGGAGAGGGAACGAAAGCCCTGAGTAAAGACTGAGCACTCTACTCCCCATCCCTATCCACGCAGTGCAGAAAGTTCTAGAAAAACTTAATACACTCATCCAGGGAAACAGAAGAAGCTCGTTTCTTCCTGGGAGCTCAGCATCTAGGGGGTGGGGGCAAGTTAACCATGTAAAATCAAAGCCCTAAACCTACACCCAGAGTGGGCTGGAAATGTAAAATTGTACCGTACCCCTTGGCAGGCGTCTTCAAGCTAGAAAAGCAAGGCAAAGATTGGTCTTGGACAAGCCAGACTCTCTCCGCAAAGGCCCAATTGTTCTGAGGAGACATTTCCACATGACTCAGGTCAAATGGGATGGGGCACGATAGAGAACCACATGGCCATCTAGAAAACCCTGGGCCATACTCCACAGCGAGCAGGCTTAACCAGCAGAGAGACTAGCACCCACAATGATGAGAGAAGACTGCCGTTTGCAAGTGTAAGATAAACATCCCGGAACCTACAGTAATAGGAATGAATTCATCCCTGGGAGTAGAGGGGCAAATTTTCCTGTGCAGAATTCCAAATGTCTGATAGTGACCCTGCCTGCAGAGAAAGGAACACAATTCCCCCTTCCTAATGTGAGCTGCCAATGGTGACGTCTTCCAAAGAGAACTTAGCAGAAGGCAAGAGGAAGCAGTAGAGACAAGTAACTACCCACGAGCGCTTTAGCCAAGTGACCAGAGTCAGCATCAGCAGACAGAAACTGTGTTGACAATAATATATATAATTATATATATTTTATATAGATATAACTTGACCTTTGATATAATGTGATGAAAATGACATTTGACCTCTGTGAGCTTTCTCCCTACAATCAGAATATTCATTTTTGCCATTTTGAATACTTGGGTTCTCAAGACCCATTCTTGAATAATAATAATAAAAACCTAGAGCTTCCCATCCCCTCTTCCTTCTTTGCTGGTTTCCTTTCTTCTTTCCCTTCCACTCACTGCTCCCTCTCCCTCCTTCCTGCTCCCCTTTATAAATTAGTAGCAGCTCGCTTATTGCACTGTTGTTGTCATCACCGAGTTGATTCCAATCCCAATGCCCCAATGCACAACAGAAGGCAGCACTGCCCCGTCCTGCCCCATCCTCACAATTGTTCCCATGCTTGAGCCCATGGCTGTAGCCACTGTGTCAATCCAGCCTGTTAGAGCCCCTCCACTTGACCAAGCATGATGTCCTTCTCTAGGGACTGGTTCCCTGACAACATGTCCACAGGATGTGAGACAAAGTCTCACCATCATGGCCTTGGTGGAGCACCCTGGTTGTACTTCCTTCAAGACAGATTTGTTTGTTCTTCTGAAAGTCCGCGGCACTTTCAATAATCTTCGCCAGCACCACAATTCAAAAGCATCAAACTCTTCTTCATTCGTTGTCACAACTACTTATACTTAGATTTTGCCTACATCAGAGCACCTCTTTACCATCTCTCCTGGGTTCCTGGAACCACACAGGAGCCAGAGTTTTCTCGGGTGTAAACATCCAAAAGCTTCCCATTGCCATAGCATCTCCATGGGCTAACAGGCCCAGCTCCTGGTTCTTTCTTCAGTAAGATACATTTACCTCTGTCTCTGGCCTTTGAACTCACTGCCTCTTATATCCAGAATGCTTTTCTTTGGATTGTCATATAACTGCCCTCTCAACATTTTAGTTCAAGTGTCATCTTCATTGGAAAGCCACATCTCTGACCGGTCTGTCAAAGCACATTCCAGCCCGATCACTCACCTATTGTTTGTTGTTGTTGTTATTGTTTGACGTGAACTTGTTTGTCGCAAGACTCCAAGTCCATTTCAGGTTCACATTCCTCCTTTTGTCTTTAAGCCGCTGTGTAGGTTTGAGGGCTAAGGAGTCTGAAGGGGTCACCTATTGTTTTTATGGTCTTCAAAGCACAGATCATGAACTGGAATGGTTTGTATGTTTGCCAGCTGTCTCCCACCAAGAAGACTGAGATCTGCTCCATCACGTATCCCTGTGTCTCAGTGTTTGGAACAGTGGCTGCCTGGCACATGATAGGTGCAGGACAAGTAGTGGCATTTTTATGATGGCTACTGTGGTAGTTACATAATCTGGTGTCAACTTGCGACTATTATGAGGGAAGGGGTGGATGGTCACAGTTTGATGTCCTCATTTAGAGACACAACGGAGTTAAATAGCTCACAGGAGGCCATACACACTCTCTGCTTCACATTCCTGTTGACAAGCCACATGGAGCTGCGCTGATGGAGCCAGAGCCCTGGAACTGGAGGAGCCATGTGGAGACCCATGCCAGTGCTGAGATGCTTCCGCCACCACTGGATCCACACAACTTTCCACCCACTGGCCTGTGATCTTCCTGCAGTCAGCATCATTGTATGGCCACATGAGTGCACAGAGGAATTTATGGACTAGTATCGCCATATGGGACAATATCGGACTTATGGACTTGATCTAACTGGGCTAGGATGTTTTCTTAATGTTCAATTGCTCTTTGATATAAAGTTCTCTCGTACACACGAGTGTCTCCGGATTTGTTTCTCTAGTCAACCCGGACTAACACA